TTCTCCACGTTCCGTACGAAGGAACCACAGGCTATGTGGCCTTTGGTGTCTGGCCAGTTCACTCGGGATGTTTCGAGGTTCATCGCGTGGGAGCAGGTGTCAGTATCATTCCTTCTTGGGGTTCAGTGCTGACCCAGTGTATGCAGGCAGCACATTGTGTGTGTCCACTCCTCAGCTGATGGCCACTTGAGCTGTGTCCATCTCTTGGCTGCCGTGAGCATTCACACGTGAGTACCTGTCTTCACTTCTTTTGAGCTAAGTTCGCTTACTTCCTAATTCTCTCTCAGATCTGCCCGCTGCTCTCCTTAGGCTCAGGTCACCTTCATCGCTCACTGCTACCTCACTGGTATGTGTGTGACCACGCTGGCCCTGCTCCACCCTGCACTCTCCACTGAAGCCCTGTGGCCTTTTCAAAATACAGGTCTCATGTTCACGGCCTTTATTGATCTTAACATTGTTTGCAGGGTAAGGTACAAAGTCCTTCCAGGGCACTCAGGGCCCAGCATTGCCTGGTTTCCGACCATCCCTTTAAGCTCATCTCACCATTCTGCCCCTCACCCCCTGTGCTGCAGCCACGTTGACCTTTCTGTCCTGCAAACTCGCCAGGCTCAGTCCCACCACAGGCCCTTTGCACATCCAGCACCAGGGGATGGTGCGCCACATCCATATGATAGCCTGGTAGATGGCCCGTGATGTGCATTTGGAAGAATTTGTAATAATGTAGCACCATTATAAATGGGAAAAGCAGAACACAGAAGTATGTGTGTCTGTATGAGTAGACAGATATACATACATTAATAAAATGCACAGGAAACGGGCTACAAGGAAAGCCACCCAAAGTGTTAGCAGTGGTTGTCTTCGCCCAGTGGTATTTGACTGAAATTTTTCTGTTTCCTCTATTTTACAAATTACCTTATAATGAGCTTGTCCTTATATCAGGACATAAGCCTCTGTTTAAAGAGAAGGGGAGCCCGGCTGGTGTGGCTCAGTCAGTTGCCCATCTTCCTGTGCACCAAGAGGTCACCGGTTCGATTCCTGGTCAGGACACACGCCCGGGTTGCGGGCTTGATCCCCAGTATGGGGCATGCAGGAGGCAGCGGATTGATGATTCTCTCTCATAGATGTTTCAATCTCTTTCTCCCTCTCCCTTCCTCTCTCTATAAAATCAATAAAAATATGTTTAAAAGAGAGAGAGAGGGAAAAAAGCACAAAATTACTGCCCAAGTCTTAACTCTCATTTAAGATTAGGAGTCTTAACATCTAAAGACTCGGCGAAGAAGAGCACCTTTGGGAATGTCTCTCCATTCCTGTTCTAACTTTCATTTCCATGAAATCTTCAACTTCCCCTCGCTCTCCATGGTACAGTTGCCCTTGCAAAAAAAAGTTTCAGTTGCCCTTGGAAGGTTCCTTGCCCGTTGCTTATTTTTAACCACCTCGTTCAGGAAACATGTGATGACTAACTTTTAGAAACACCAGCAATGGTCTGTTGACAGGGGTGCAAGTGTGTGTCACTACCCTTGACTCTGTAAGAGCAGCTAATGATTAGCTGGCTTTGGCAGCCAAGGAAAAGCCTCCTTGTTTGCATTTGGTCTTCCTCGGCGCGATAAGAATGTTTAGACAGAGATAAGCAGCCATCCAGAGTTCCTTTCGGCCCCATGGCGATAGCATGTTCGCGGAGCTGACCTCCACGGGGCCTGTGGGCAGAGGGATGGGGCTGCTCGCTCACCACCTCTCTCCAGGGGTGAAGAAGGAACTGAGCTGGGAGAGCAGGGCAGCCTTACGGGTCTCCAAACCCTTGGCTGGGTGTTGGGGCGCCCTGGTCCCTGCCGGGGGAAGGCTGTGGTCCGATGTGTTGGTGGCTCCCGGGAGAGCTGTGTCCGCAGGCCCGTGTAACCAACACGTGGACGATGCAACTGACTTTATCAGGGCGGTGGCTGTGGAGGTTTCAGCTCCCGAGAAGCCACAATCTGTAATGTGTGTGGCGCAGTGACGTCACATGGGTCGTTGGTTTAACCGTTTCCTGGGCCTTCTCTCCAAAGTGCGTTTGAGCGTTAGACTTGGCCGAACCTGGGCTCATCCTGCCTGCCCACCCGCTGGCAATGGGCGACCTCGCCATGCTGCCTTTCAGGGCTGTCGGTAGGGTACCTGGGACAGTCCATGGGAAGCGCCGGCACTTAATAGACGTCGGTTGTCTCTCCTCCCTATTCCCCTCACCCCGCTCTGATTCTGTTGTTTAGAGGATTCAGAAGCGAACCTGCTCGTAAGTTGGCCTCCTGTGTTTTCTTACTATTGTTGGATTTGCCCAAACTTAAACTATTAAAATTACTGCCTGTTAAAGGTAAGCGCTTATCCCAGGCGGCTTGCCTGGGTGGGGCTGGGGACTTTAAGGAGAGCTGTATAGCTTTTTGTAAGTGGAGCCTGCTCTCTGTGTTTGGGGGAAGTCTCTGGAAAGCTACCCCAGTGTCCTGTCAACTCCATCAGCTTCTTCGTGGAGTTCACACAGCAATTGACACAGAGAAAGCGGGAGAGAGGAGTTTCAGGGTCTGTGAGGACCCTGTGTTTCCTCTCCCATTTTTCCACTTCTCTCACTCCTGACCTTGAGGCCCCCCCGTGGCCACGCCAAAGAATGGGGCGGATTGGGTTGTGCCGCCCGACCAGCTGGCTGTGGGCCGGGTGCGAAAGGTGATGTCACCCTTTTGGTCTGAAACTAGCTGAGCCCAAGGTGGTGCCTGTAACTTATCCTGGAAGAGAGAAGCCGTAAGAGGAGGTCCCCAAGGCACATCCCTTTAACTCATTCTGCAGGTGTCTGCGGCAGGCCTGCTGTGAGCCAGGCCCTATCTCATGGGGTTGTGTGCAAAGAGCCCCAGTCAAATGCCCTCGGGGTGCGGGTGGGGCTGCAGTGGTATTTGCTTGTGTTGAGTAATAAAAGCTGTCTCCCCAGAGCCCAGGATTAACAGTATGAAAAGCCAGTTCTACGTCAGCGATTGTCTAGCCTTGCCTAGAGCTTCTCCAACCTTAGGTGGAAGCTGCTTGGGGACCTTGTAGTGTGCACCTTGGTCCTGGCCTCAGAGATTCTGATTGCGGCAGGGACAGGGTTCCCAAACCTGTGGTTTTATCAAGAACCAGTGCGATTCTGATGGCGGCAGGCGGTGGGTCAGCCCCGGGATTTTAGCAGCACAGGAGGCGTGGGGGGAGGGGAGAGTTTGGAGTACTCAGGTGTGTGGATCACAGTTACCTGGGAGGCTGTTTCCAGCCACACACACCTCCTGCTTTCTCCTTCCACCCTGCCTGCCCTGGTGAGCCATCCTGACTTATGAGAGTGTATTTCTTCCATCTGCTATGTGGGCAAAGCAGCAAAGTTGAGAACCAACTCTGCCATGTCTGGCAGGCTCAGATGTGAGGGCTCTCAGAGGGGGCTTTTGTTTTCCTTGGAAACTTTCGGCAGGAAGGATCTAAGGGTTTGGTGCAGGCGGGCTGGCCCACCCCTTTGAGGCAGAGGGCAGGACACACACCCTCGGTTCATCCCTCCCTCTGACTTCCAGCTGCATAACCTTGACCGTAAACTCAGACTCCACTGTTCCCTGTGGCACTTAGCTCCGGTTGCTGGGCCCCACCCCGTGACCCTGATTCAGTAGGTCCCGTTGAGGCCTGGGAATTTGCATATTTAATAAGTTTGCAGATGATTCTGATCGAGCTCTGACTAGCACAACTTGAGCTCCCAAAGACCATCTTTGGGAGCGGTGCACATGGAAAACAGTGTCACCCTGTGTCAACTCTTCTCATGGCCGCCCTCCCCATCATAGTGGTGTCGCCAGGAATGAGACTGTTCCAGTTGGGCGGGGTTGGGGCGTGAATGGGAGAGTCACCTGTCTTCAGGTGTCTGAAGGTCCTGGGATGGTGAGGAGGGGGGGATTGTTTCTGGCTGCCTGCAGGTGGCTCCTCCCAGCTCAGGGGTGGGCTTCAGAGGCTGGGGCTCCCTGTGCTGGCTGATTGGCTAGTCACCTGGGGGGGGTGCTTTTTAAAAATAGAGCCTCCCACCCTAGCCGGTTTGGCTCAGTGGTTGGAGCATTGGCCCTCAGACTGACGGGTTGTGGGTTTGATTCTGGTCAAGGGCACGTACTTCAGTTGCAGGCTTGAATCCCAGCACCGATTGGGGCACATGCAGGAGGCAACCAATTGATGTGTTTCTCTCACACCAATGTTTTTCTCTCTCCCCCTCTCCCTTCCACACTCTCTAAAAATCAATGGGAAAAAATATCTTCAGGTGAGGATTAACAATAAATAAATAAATATAAGTAAAAATAAAAATAGAGCCTGCCTGTGCCTGCTCGGAGACACTGGTGAGCAGCGGGTTTGGGATCCCTGTGTGGGGGCCAGTGGCGTACCAGTTGGGCAGCGGAGAGCTGCTTTCCTCTTACTGATTCCCGGATTTAGCTCTAATGCTTCCCTGGCAGGAAACTGGACCCTTTGTGAAGAGTATTTCCTCCCTGGGTCCCTAAAGGTACAGTCGATAAATCCTGGCTGCGTTTTCCGAAGTGCTTCATTTCCCATCTGAGGATGGTGACCAGCCAGGACGAGCTGGCCAAGGGGATGCAGCGGGGTGAGGCCCCCGTCAGAACAGCAGTGTCCACGGTGACCCGATCCTGGGGAGCACACTGCCCAGGCAGACTCAGAGTCAGGTGGAAGCTGAGGCAGTGATTTCGGTAATTAGCTCCAACGAGCAATATTCCCTCTTTAGTTTGTCCTTCGCGGACTTGAGGAGTTTCCCGGTTCCCCAGCAGGTGGTTGGAGAGCGTCACTGGGCACCATGCTCTGTGCCAGGCTGGCTTTATAAAGGTGACTCGGGTATAGTCCCTGCCTCCTGGCGTCCACTGCTGACCCCGAGCCATCTAACTGCAGACGCGCAGACCAGTGTCCAGATGGGGCGGTGGGCCAGGACGGCGCTGCCTGGCGCCCTGGGCGCCGCCGGGGCCCACGCTGACGCGCGCTCTGTCTTGCAGTTCTGCGCGGAGCTCAACCAGCCGGTCCTGCCCAACATCCGCAGGTGGAAGGGGGCCCGGGGGTGCTGGAAGGCCATCGTCGCCGACACGCCCGCGACTCAGCTCCAGAAGGTACCCTCCTCCCACAACATGCACTTTCTTAACATTTTATTGAACTTTCCTTTTTCACTCATCACAGACATTTAACTTGTCCTTTGCCAACATTCTCGATACAGTTTTGTCTTTCTGCCCATTTTTACCATTTGTTTCAAAAGGCCCTGGTTCTTGGCCCATCAGTGCTGAGATAGGGACAGACAGCTGGCTCCCCAGGTGGAAGTGGGAGTTTGGGGTGTCGGGAGGGGGGAGAAATCTTGTCTGGAGCCGAGGCAGCAAATGGAGCATTTCTGTCCTTTGTCCTCATAGTCTCTTCCTACAGCTCTGCCTCTGCCGAGCGCATGGAGACCCCGTTGCTCATTGACTGAAAACTTGGGGGTCACTTAATTCACTCACCAAGTGTTTGCTTTCAGTGGGATAAATCGTGCATGTGGAGATGGTGGCAATTTTCAGCAGATTATAATTTTGAATTACCTTTCCTTGGTATCACCCATGTGGCTGTCTGTGTTCACTGTTGCATATCATATGCAAGACCAGATTTTGCTCATTTGGAAGGTTCAATATCAGTCAATATCAGCGGAGTTTTAGATTTTAAAATAGACTTTTGTTAGTTAAACATGAGTTGGAAACTGGGTCATCGCATAATTTTCCTATAAACGCAGATGTTATAATTTTATCTCCACACTATACCAACTAGGCTTATAAACACATATAAATTGTCCTTATATGAGTGATACTGAGATTCGGGGCTTTTAAATTGTAAATGTATGCTGGATTTAAATTATCCAGTCATTTATTGACCATGAGCTCTCTTTTTAGCTACTGCTTAAACATGCTTTAAATCTTGTTTCTCCGGTTTCATGTTTTGGAGCGTAGATGGTTACTGTGGGAGCAGCCCATGTGGGTGGACCATGTCTAGTTTTTACCACTCTGCCCATGGGTCTCCTCCTCAGTCCACATAAAAACCATAGCATCGTGCTCATTTTTTGTTGCTGTTAATAGCACTTCACACATACGCAGACTCACGGGTTTCTTATAGTCCCTTTAACACTCTGTAGTCATCCATTCAACAAATGGCCCCCAACTGCCAGGGACGGCAAGGGTCAACACCAAGCTCCGGGACCCGCCAACACCACCATTTGCCCCCTTCCAGGCCTTCACAGCACCCTGCTCCTGGGCTTCAGGCCCCGGTGTGGGGGCTCCATCCACCTGTAGTGGCCCTTGACCAGTTCCACCACTGGGAGTTAGCCCTGACCTCCATTCACCATATATTTATTTATGGAGCAAATATTTATGGAGCATTTCCCAGGTGCCAGGCTCCATGTGTTGTAAGCAGCAGGTGATCAGTTAGCAAACCCACTTTTTGGGGTCTTCTTATTTCGATTCTCAGCGTTGCCATTTACCTGCTATGGGACTTTAGGGAAGTTACTTAACCTCTCTGAGCAGCTGAGTCTTCATCGGGCCCATGGGAGTGGGACTGGCTACCTCGTGGGGTGTGATGACTAAAAAGATGCCTCCTGTGCATAGTCTGGGCTTCCCCCAACCCCTGCCCACAGAAAGAGAAGCGCCAGGCGCCCCTGGCTGTATGGAAAGCCCTCGGAATTGGGAAATTGGCGGTAGGGGCCATCTGAGGGGAAGGCAGCAAGGAGCACGCTGTGGTTTCGGGTGAGCGTTTGTTTCAGAAACAGCCCTGAGCATGTGACCCACGACTCCTGCCCGGTCCCCCAGCCCCAGCCCCGTCCTCTCCACACTGACGCCCCTCTCCTCCGCAGGGCGCCGGCTTCTCGGGATTCCTGTGGGACACCTCGGCCGGGGTGGAGCTGAGAGACGCCGCCTCGCAGGAGAGCTCGCCAGGCAACGGGCACGGGAGGCCCTCGGGCCCCAGCCCGTACCTCGCGCGGTTCAAGGTACCTGCTCCGTGATACTGGGAAGGCCCCCTTTCTCTAAAAAGGGAAAAAGAGCCCCCTTTTAAGCTCTCAGCCAGAGAAGCCTCCTCTGCCTGCCCTGACTGTGTCCCCTCCTGGGTTTCCCTGGGCCAGTGAACGGTACAGGGCAGGAATGAGAGGGACTTGGAGGGACTCGGGCTCCGAGAACTCGGGCATCTGGGCAGGAAGGACAGACAGCAGGTGCTGGCTCCCAAACCTGGCACATCCAAGTCTCGTGGGGAGATTCTCTTAAAATCAGGGATTCCCGGACCCCACAACCTACAGAGTTTCCAAAGAGGGCCCAGGACTGCCCCCCATCCATCTTCAGCCATCCCCACCCCCAGCACTCTTTACCGGGGTCGGCATCTGGGGATCCNTCCCGGACCCCACAACCTACAGAGTTTCCAAAGAGGGCCCAGGACTGCCCTCCAGCCATCTTCAGCCATCCCCACCCCCAGCACTCTTTACCGGGGTCGGCATCGGGATCTNTCGGGCTCCGAGAACTCGGGCATCTGGGCAGGAAGGACAGACAGCAGGTGCTGGCTCCCAAACCTGGCACATCCAAGTCTCGTGGGGAGATTCTCTTAAAATCAGGGATTCCCGGACCCCACAACCTACAGAGTTTCCAAAGAGGGCCCAGGACTGCCCCCCATCCATCTTCAGCCATCCCCACCCCCAGCACTCTTTACCGGGGTCGGCATCTGGGGATCCCCGGACCACAGGGCAGCAGAACTGTTCTGGGGACCTTCTCCTCTTTACCAGGCAGAAGGGGGCCCCTTGAGGATCATTTGGGTTTGGAGGGGGTTTGGGAGGAGCCTCTGGGTTGTGGGGCCAGGACAGCTCTGGATGAGCCCTCACCTGTGTGGGAATCTGTCTGTCCCACCTGAGTCCAGAGCAGCAGGCAGACAGAGCGGAGCTGTCCCTCAGGTCCCTGGGTGCCCTGGGGAATGTTAGAGAGCAGCAGACAGTCAGACACTGAGTGGCAGGAGGGATGAGAGGCCAGCAGCCAGAACAGATCACTGAGTGGGCAATCAGTTGACCTTGTCCCCTCAGCACTTACCTGTGACATCACAGGGTCCAGCAGGTGTGGTCCCTCGACATAGAGCCTGGCAGGCTGCCTGCTGTGCGTTGGGATGTCCCCTTCTGTGGGCTCCAGAGCAGTTCTGGAGCCTGAGAGCTGCCCCAGCCCCAGCTCGGTTCCTCTCTGGGCCTGGGATCCACTAGCTGGGGGCTGGGCTGCCCACGGGCTGGGGCTGTTGACTCTGGTTGGGGCTCTTGCTCTTCTCACACCTGTAGCTGTAGAGGTGCAGGGACTCCGTGAGCACACACATGGGCTTCCTGGGGTTTTGCTGATGGTACTGATGTGGAGACCAGACACATATCATCTTTAAACCCTCCGAACAACATCGGAGACCCTTTTTATGGAAAGGGTTGTACTGGCTTCGGCCAAGCAGGGCCACAGCCAGAGCCCGCCAGTGTCTATAAAAGGTGGGCTATTTTTAATGGCCAATGAAAATGCTCTCATGTCAGGAATGGCTGGTCCAAATTTTCTAAATGAAGCAATCAACTCCCAAGGCAACCACTCAGCCTCCTGTGCTTCGTGTCACATTCTAGGCCAAGCAGATGGCGCAGGACGGGGATGTGGCTTCTCTCTCCAGGCTCCCCAGGCGGGGTTCCCTGCCCACGGCCTGAAGTTGGTTCCTCTGTGGTCAGAGCCACAGCTGCAGGAAGCTCTCAGGCTGGGTGGTGGCAATCACAAGCCAGGGTCATATCTGTAAGACAAATGACAGCTGCCACTTCCCAGGGAGTCCCCTGCACACCCTCCCTTCCCGGCAGTGTTTAGAGTGGTTGCCTTGACGAACGGAAGTGGGGATTGCCAAACCCCAGCAGCTGAGCAGCGCTGCAGAGCTCAGGGGACCAGCCCCGTCTTCAAGTTTCCGCACCTACACCCCCGGGTCCTTCCTGGGGACCAGGACCAGGGCAGAGCCCGTGCGGCCAGCATTCGGCCAGCTCCCGTTCTTGACATGTCAGGTGAAAGCAAACATCGGGGTGTAGGAGGCTCTAGAGGGAGAGAACCCATTGCCGGTGGGCAGGACATATGGGATAGGGAAGGAGGCAGGTCCCACAGTGGGCCCTGCAGGGGATCCAGGCCGGTCCCCCACCTGGGGAAGACCCCCAGTCTTTGTTAACAAGCAGCTGCTAGAACCACCACCCCTCCCTTGTAGTTACTTAGGAGGGAAAACAAAAACCCTGACAATTCCAGATGTGCCCAACTTCCCAGGCCCTAGGAGGAGTGGGTGTCACGTGGGGGGTTGGATTAAGGAACAAGACAGTTCTCAGCCCTGCAGGTGCCCCGAACAGACCTTCCAGGGACCACTGCCTCTCCTCCGGTGGGAGCAGCCTTGTGCTCTGTTGCCAACATCGTGCGTGAGCCTGTTTGTGGATCGGTGGTAACGGATACTGGAACTAGAAGCATCTAAGCTGCCCCTGTTGCTTTGTCTCCTCCTGTTCAGGTGGGAAGTAATGACCTGACTCTCGTGAACCTTCACCTGGCAACCCCGATCCCCCCGGGGGGTGAGAATCCAAGCAAGAACCACAGCGACAGCCACCGCACCGTCAGCTTCGCCCAGACCTTGCAGGAAACCCTGAAAGGTGGGAAAAGGTCTCTCTCTGTGGCTGGGTCATGGCTCCCACCTCCGTGGGCAGGCCGGGGTGGCCTCCGCCGAGCATCTCTCTGGTCCTGTAGGCTGCGCGTTCAGTTGGCAGTGGTGCCCAGCGAGGACTCTGGAGGCAGCCGTGCCCTGCACCTTCTGGAGCCCGGGCCCTGTGCGTGGTGACGGCTGTCTCTGTGCGTCTCATATACATGGGCCACAGTGTCCGCCTTGTGGCTCTTCCAGCCTGCCGTTGATGGGAGGGATGACACCCTTCCCGTGACAGCTTATCCTGGGCTCCCCAGCCCTGGCTGTCACAGTGTGCTGCCACCTGCCTCTCCACATGCGCTTGTCTTGTGAAAGAGGGACAGCCGGCACCGAGGGACAGGGGGCGGGGAAGTCCTGATCCGCGGCACATGGAGTTTTTCTCCTGGTGGGACGCAGATGGCACTGAAGGGCCCGAAGCTCTCAGAAAAGGTGGGTTTTCATCTCAGCTCCTCCAGTGGCTGCAGGACCTCACAGCACTGCCCACGTGAAGTCCCACCCGACGGGGGACCCACGTCCTGGGGGACCCCACAGCCCTGCCCTCACAGAGGCGCTGTAGGCTCGGTAACTGTCTGTGGGTGGATGTGAGTGGACTCGGAAGATGCCAGAGGGATTAAGAGAACATGAAAAAGGGCAGAACTTCAGAAGAAGGTGGGCTCCCTGTTTCCCAGGCTCTGCCCCCAGCAGTGCAGAGGTTTTCTCCGTGTGGTTTGCTGGAAGGAGAAGTTGCCGTGACGGCAAAGACTGGGACGTTTTCAGGTGGGCTCGGATTTTCTGAATGCTGACCTTACAGCCTGGAATTCTCATTCATATTTTAAAATTTTGACCGATATTCTCTAGCTTTCTAAGCCTTTTCCTTGTTACGTTGGCCCCTCACAGTTAGTCAGTTCATGAAGATTCGTCTACAAAAATAATTTGGCCAAACTACAGCCTTATATTTGAGCTTTTTTTTTATTGCAGTAAAATATACATAACATAAAAATTTACTATCGTAACCATTTTTAAGTGTGCAGGTCAGTGACATTCAGCACATTCCCATTGCTGTGCTCCTGCCACCACCACCATCTCCAGTGTGTCACCCCAAACGGAAGCACTGTCCCCATTTTAAACACTGACTCCCCGCCTCCCCCCAGTGCCTGGGAACCACCATCCTACCTTCCGTCTCTGTGAATTTGACTGCTCGAGGGACGTCATAGAAATGGAATCTTAAAGTATTTGTCCTTTGTGTCTGGCTCATTTCATTTAGCCTAATGTCTTCCAGTTTCCTTTACGCTGTAGCAGGGGCCAGAATTTCTTTTAAGGCCAGATACTATACCATTGTATCCAGGGTGGAGCAAAAGTAGGCTTATAGTTGTGAGTAGGCGACACACAGTTTATTCTTGTATTATTATTAATGACTGTATTATTCCCCATATAGACAACTCTAAACCTACTTTTGCCCCACCCTGTATGTATATCCCAGTTCGTTTACCTGTCCATCGGCCAGTGGACACGGGGTTGTTTCCATCTTTTGACCGCTATGAGCATTATTACGGATCTTGCATTTTGATGTGCCGTTCTACTTAAATTATGAGACTTCAGGCTAAACAAGGAGCAGCGACGTGGGAAGTTGCTCACCTACAGTTAGCCTTTAAACTATTTGGCTTGGTAGCTTCTACAATCTGTAGCCGTTTCTATTGTTCTTGATCTCAAGGTTTTCTCTTTTTTTTGACACGGAAACAAAGGAAAGATGCCAGGCTATTACTTCTCTGATGACCTTAAGGGCTCCCAGGTTTTTTTTTCTGATATCCAGGGAGTGGTCAGGTTTCATCAGAAAATCTGGGCTGGTTACTGTTCCAAGTCCTCAAAGGGCTGTTGACCCACAGCATGGCTCGGCCTTGACACGTCCGGGTGTGGGCAGTGACTCACGTCACCCGAGTGTGGCCCCCCAACCCCCCGCTTGCTAACTGAGGACACAGCAGACCCAAGGATTCAGGAAGCGCTCAGCCTGCCCAGGGTGCAACAGGCCACATTGGTTGGCACAAGCGGTTCAGCTGAAACAAAGGCTAAGCCTTGCCCTGGCCAGTGTGGCTCAGAGGTCAGAGCACCGGCCCTNACAAAGGCTAAGCCTTGCCCTGGCCAGTGTGGCTCAGAGGTCAGAGCACCAGCCCTCATACCAAAGGATCTCGGGTTCAATTCCCGGTCAAGGGCATGTACCTGGGTTACAGGTTTAATCCCCAGCCCCAGTCAGTGTGCGTGTGGGAGGCAACCAATCGATGTGTCTCTCTCACATCGATGTTTCTCGCTCTCTCTCTCTCTCTGCCCCCTCTTCCCCTTCTGCTCTCTCTGGAAATCAATAGAAAAATTATCCCTGAGCAAGGATTAGCAAAAATAAAAATTAATAAAACAAAGGTAAGCCTCTGTTCCACAGGCTTCTTTCTATCGGAGTGAACAGAGCTGGTTGGATTAGTGAACTCTGGGCCTTTCTGCCTTTGTCTGGAGTGTGCGCCAGGTTGACGTCAGCGGGTGCTGGACCAGTCATCCGGTGGCAGGGTTTTCTTCTTTCAGACCCCACGGGGCTTGCTCTGCGGACTCAGCAAGACTGCATCCTGGCACATAGTAGTGCCTGACATCTGCGGGGACCATCCCTCCGTGGGGACCAGTCCCTGCCATTGTCATTGGCATGCTATATACCCAGAGGCTCCCTAGGAAATCGGCCTGGAGCATTCTCGCTTCACTTCTGCAAACCAAGGGAAGGACTAAGGAGCCCGACCCAGGGGTCACTGTCAGAGAATTCAGGCCTCTGCACCCCTGAGTTTCTCAGAGATAAGAACTGTCTCGATGGCTTCTCCGCCGCTGACAGACTAGGAGGAGATGAGCTGTAAGAATCCCGGCTGTGCCTGTTCAAAAAAAAGAGCTGAGATCTTCATAAACAAAAAATAAGACAGCCACNCTGTGCCTGTTCAAAAAAAGAGCTGAGATCTTCATAAACAAAAAATAAAACAGCCATCATTTTCATTCCTGAACTTACACACAGCGGGGTTTATGGACCCTGGACAACTAGCATCCCTCCTGGTTTCCAAATGGTCTTCTGTAGCCCAACCTTCCTCAGGCCTACATCCCACTGAAAATCTCTCTCATTGTAGGGAACCTTCTGCCTCAGCCTTTTATAACCTTCAGTTTCCCTCAATAGTCAATGCATGTAGCAACTTTCTCTCCTTTCCTCTCAAACACTAAAGGCATCTTAGTTCTGAGGGTTCCTCATGCCTCATTCACCAGCTCAGGCCACACGTGGTTGTCGAGTGTCGGCCGTGCAGCAGGCTCTGTTCCAGGCACTGTTCCAGGCACCTGGGGTTTTGCAGTGCACAGCCAGCCAGCCAGCCACTCATGTCCTCACGGCTGTTTCATTCTAGCTCGATGTAAGAGCCCGGACCTGAGGGCTGGCTCGGTGACTGCCTCAGCTTCTCACCTGCAGAGAGAGCCTGGCACCCGGCGAGGGCTCCGGGACGGTTATTAACATTGGCCAGGTGTGACTTGTTAACGTCCCTCTCAGGTCAGCTTTCCCACTGGAAGTTGGCACTGATTTCTCAGGGCAGCCTCGGCTCCCTCTGCTCTGGGTGCCAACGTCGTTCCCATTTAGCGTGAAGGGTACGTCTCTTGCCCACACAGCGGAGCCGCGACAAAGGCTTCCATCTCAGTCCCGTTTGCCCCGCGCCCCCAGAGGAGGGTCCCCTGCGGCGCACGAGCGCCCTCTGCTGGTGGCTTGTGTCATTTCACTTCAGATTTCTTTCCCAGCCATTGTTACTGAAGCCTATTCCTGGGGGGGCCCGGGTTGGGATTTGCCGGGTGTCTGGGGTACGTGTGGCTCTTGCCTATGAACTGCTTTCTTCAGAGCCTCCCCTGCAGGTGTGACAGAAACGCTACTCCCTGTGATGACAAGCTCCCCGAGGGGAACTGGAGACACGCGGCAGTGGTCAGGCTGTCGATGGGAATTGCGCAGAGCCCGGCGGGGCCACGGGCCTCCCAGGCCGCCCACTCACTGTGGACAGTCCTTCATATCCACCCCATGCACCCCAGTGTAAATCAAGCCATGGGGGAAACGCTGAGAATACTTTAAAGAGAAAGCTTTCCGCTGTGGCTCGGTGTTGATGGGCTGGGGCTGCCCTAACAAAATACTCGAGACTGGGCCGCTCATTTTCTCACAGTCCTGCGGCCAGAAGTCCAAGGTCAGGGTGTCCGCAGGGTGGGTTTCTCCCGAGGCCTCCGTCCTTGGCTCTCAGGTGCCCACCTCTTCTTCTGTCTTCGCGTGGTCTTTCCTCTGTGCTCAATGTTTTTTGAGATTTGCAAATTCTCATGGAACCCATGAGCTGGAAAGGGGGTGACCCTGCACCCCGCCCCCCCCCCATTTCCAAGCATGTGACTAATCTCCTCTTAGAGGTTTGGGGGGTTTTGCCCGAGGAGTTTAGAAAAATTGGGGAAATGAAAACCACGTGTGGTCATAGTCCCTGGGGGGGGTCAGTCAAAGCTCGCGACCCCCCTTGAAAAGGGCCGTGGTCAGCACCGGGTGTTCTGCCTTCCCAGCACGGCTCCCACTCCTGATTTCCCTTTTCCCACTTCCAGGAGAAAGGGACGTGATTGTCTTAGGGGACTTTGGCCAAGGCCCAGACAGCAGCGACCACGACATCCTGAGGAAAGAAAGATTCCACCCCCTGGTCCCCGCGCACACCTTCACCAACATCAGCACCAGGAACCCGCAAGGCTCCAGGTCTCTGGACAACGTCTGGATCAGCAAAAGCTTAAAGAAGGTCTTCACAGGTAAAGGCATCGCTCCCTTCTCCTACCCAGAAAGGAAGTAAGAGGCACCCGTCCGAGCTGACAGTTCCAATTGACCGTTTGGGGTGAGCAGGAGTCGGGAGGTGCCTTACCTCCGCGGGGCGTTTACAGGACTATAGTTCAGGTGACTATAATTATCATTCCCACGGGGCTACTTTTAAGAGTGAAGGTGGGCCCAGCCGGCATGGCTCAGGGGTTGAGCATCGACCTAGGATCCAGGAGATCGTGGTTCGATTCCCAGTCAGGGCATGTGCCAGCAGGGGGTGTGCAGGAGGCAGCCGATCAATGACTCTCTCATCATTGATGTTTCTATCTCTCCCTCCCTCTCCCTTCCTCTCTCTGAAATCAATAAAATATTTAAAAAAAAGAAAAAAAAAGAGTGAAGATGTGAAAAGCAATGAAAAGGCATTTGCTGGTATATAATAGTGCACAGAGTGTCCCAGGCAGACCTGGTCACGGGCTAGTGGAGACCCGATTCAGAGATGGACTGTTACCTTACCCTAAGTTTAAGGACGCTTAGTCGTTCAGCAAACATTTCTCCAGCCCTGTCACATTCAGGCGTGGCCTGAGGTCTATGGACGCAGTGCCCCAAGGTGAGCAGACATGTCATGTAGTGTCACGGTAGGATGGGATGGGAGAGCTACTTTAGACAGGACCCCACAAGGACCAGGTGTTGTGGGTAATCTCAGCACTAAAGAGCAGCTCCGGCCACACCAGGCACCTGCTGAGATGACTGTTTGGGGTCAGAAAACAATTAGGAATGTGGAGGCTACAGTCGGGTCTTCTGCTGACGGAGAGGTGGCTCGGCCCTGAGGCCATGGCTGTGCTTTGTCACTGCTCTGGACTGGCGTTTGGAACTATCATTGTCTTCTTGCTTTATGTATTTCCAAATCTTTATTTTTAAAATATTTGCTATCTCATAAGCCTCTGTAACTTGCCCTTTTCCCCCTTTTTATGGAACGTATTCCCCCCACCAGCCTTGCTTTGGATGTCTTGGTGAGACAGTTGTCCCTGTGTCACATTACTCCTGATGATCAGATTAGAAGTGGCGCGTGGCGAGGAGAAGGCCACCCATCGGGCAACGGGCATGTGGGTGGCCCGGCAGCCTGGACTTAGGAGTTTCAGGGCCTAAACTAGGCAGTGTCACCTGTCCAGAGAATCAGAGTGGCCGAGACATCTCCGGTGCAGGGCACTCTGGTAGCTGAGGAGTGTTGACGGGGACCCCAGGCCTCCGTGGGCAGCTCAGGTCTCCACTGGCAGACTATGGCCCCGCTGACTCCTCCCTGATTCGGGGTCTCTTCCTCTCCCTCAGGTCACTGTGCTGTCGTGAGGGAAGGTCTCACGAACCCATGGATTCCCGACAACTGGTCCTGGGGCGGAGTGGCGTCTGAACACTGTCCCGTGCTGGCCGAGTTCTACGTGGAAAGGGACGGGACCAAGAGGGACGGCCCTCGGAGTGGCAGCGGGGTCACCCTGGAGCGGAGTGAAGCCAACATTAAGCACGAGCGATGACACCAGATGGTGTTTCCACTTTAGCTGCAGGGGCACAGGAGGGTCAGCCCTTCCAGGAGATACAGGGTCGGCTGCCTGTGGTCTTTGTCCCGCCGTCAGCACCTGGGCCGGGACCGGCCTCCTTCTTCATGGATGTTTTTGGGACCTCGTGGGGGCTGGAGGTGCAGTGGCCAAATCGGAAGCCCAGCGGGAACCAGAAGGCCTTCTGATTCCTGGCCCGCCAGCCTCTGCAGACGCGGGCCGTCCATTGCCGCCTGGGCTGCAGCACAGGGAACAGTCGTGGAGGCTGGAAGGGAGTGTGCAAGCTGTTCCAGGCTGCGAGGCCTGTCTGAGAAGTGCCTGGAGCTCTCGTCTCTGACAACCAGCCTGCAATGTTCTGGCTGCAAATTACATAAAGCTTCTAACTGTGATTGAGTGTTCTTCTCAAATATTCCGAGTGGCGATTTTCAGCTTTGTTTTGACAAATAAACAGAGGTGAAGCTGCCTGGCTGTGGTGAGAGCCCGGGGCTGGGTCCCCAGCTGCAGGTGTTTTGTGCCCACTTCCCATCCTCCGGGGCCCGTAGCTCGAGGGGTCCTGAACACAGAGCAGCACCTCCTGGGGGCCAGCTCCCTTCATCTCTGCCCTGCAGAGGCGCCTCTCGCACCCCCATCAGCCCCCCCCCCAAACTCTATAGAGTCTTCACATCACCTCCTCCCTCCCGGCCGTCCTGCACCGCCTGCCCTCTGCGGGATGGTCCCTTAGGATGGACAGCTCCACCTCTGCATCTCCCCTCCCCCACCCGTGGCAACCTCTGGTCTTTCACTGTCTCCACAGTTCTGCCTTTTCCAGGGTGTCACGTAGTTGGAATCACACAGTCAGTCACCTTTTCAGACCGGCTCCTTCACTAGCAACCTGCACTTAAGGTTCCTCTGTGTCTTGCGTGTCCTGATAGCTAATTTCTTGTCCTTGCTGAATGATATCCCGTCAGAATGTATCTGCTCCCCTTTGGATTGTTTTTGTTAAACAATCCCCCGCCCTTCCCCAGAGTTCCCCGCACCCCACCCCTGAGCTGCCCACTGTGTGGCCTTTCTGCCTGGCCCCTCCCCTCCCCTCCAGCCCCTTCTCTTCTTCCCTCCAGGATTGTGGATGAAAAGTCCTGGGGGCAGGTGGGCGGGGCAGCCTCAGGGACCCGAGCACCAGGCCATCAGAAACCCCGCCTCTCCCTCCGGCCTTTGCCGAGCCTCACGCAGCTGCCAGGCAAAGCGATTCATTCCTGCCTCTTCCATCACTTGTAAGAAAACCACAGGCCCCTTAATGAAATCCCCGAACCCTGGGCTCCGCCGCTGGTGCAGATGGTGCTCCTGAGGGAGAGGGTCAGCCCTGCCCCCACCCCCTGGGCCAGCTCTCTGCCCGAGTCCCGCCCGTGACTGCTGGAGGCCGGCACCCCCTTGCTCCCACCCACCGCCCAGCTGAGCCCAGGCTGGGGCAGAGGCGGGCGGCTACCAAAGGCTCACTGGGGTGGAGAGACTCCGGGAACCTAAGAGCTGACTCACGCGGCCCACAAGGTAGGGCCGCCCCGTCTCCCTCCTGTGGGGCAGGTGGGTGCCTCCCTGCCGGGCCCACCCCGTGGGCGGACCCTGGGGCAGGCCTGGGCAACTAGCAGGCAGCGCAGAGAGACAGAGTGACAGCCGAGCTCCCGCCCGGCTGAGGCTCCGGTCACCTGGGTTCCACCTCCTGCCGACACCTGGCCCCTTCCCCGCTGCTGGGCCCCGGAGTCTGCCCCTCCCAGGAAGAGCCCAGCCCACCCTCAGCCGTGCAGGCTCCGCCTAAGGGGGCTCCGGAGTGGGGGGTGGGGAGGAAGGGACCCCGAAGGACCGAGGGCGCTGCCTGCCTGTCCCACACCTGGCGACTTACACAGCCGACCTCAGGACATTCCTTCAGGATTCGGGGCTGATGCCATCGCCCCATTTTGCAGTTAAGAGGCCTCCCTGGGCTTCACAACCGGTAAGTGACCGAGTCGGGATTCCAACAGCTCTGTGTGACCCCCAAAGGCCTTGCGTGACCCCAAAGGCCTTGCTTTGAATGCTCTTGAGGGGACAGGCTCACAACGAGGAGTAAACTTGTGTAGCAGACACACAGAGCACTCTGTGAATCAGGAAGGGGAGGGAGTTTTCACCGGGGGCAAGTCTGAGGGGTCTTCGTGGGGGAGGTGTCTCTGGAGCTGGGACTTGCTGTGTGGGACTAGGAGATGCTGTGGCTGATTCTTGGCAGGGGGAACCTTGAGGGCGAGGGTGTGGAGGGAGGGGAGTGTCCAGTGTAATTCCCTGTGGCAAAAGCTTACGACGTGTTATGGGGAAAAACTAATCAGAGCCAAAGGCCAGATCTTAACAGGCAACGGGCTAAGGAAAATGGAGGCTGTTCCTTAGGCTGTGGCGGCAGAGCAGAGGAGAGCCTGGCAGGAGAAGTGCAGGGTGCGGGGTTCGAGGTGTCACTTACTGCTACAGGCGCCCTCTGCTCCGGGGTCACAGAGCAGGCGGAGCCAGGGTGTCCCGCCTGGGGCAGGGCAGGGCAGGGCAGGGCAGGGCGCCAGAGCAGAGGTGGGCTCTAGGGGGCAGTGTGGAGTGGCAGCGGACGTGGGTTCCAGGGCTGCTGCCCTGGCCGGCTGGCCGCCCCTGGCGCGCAGGGCTGGACCGTGACAGGGCCCCAGGGGCCGGGGCCCCCTCTGTGTGGGGTGATCACCGTGAGCTGACTTGTCTGAAAGGGGGCGAGGTGACTGCGTCGGGGCTGTCCTGAGACGGAGCAGGCCAGGCTTCAGGGCCCCCGGCCTGCGGCAGAGCCAGCTGGCTTCTGGCCCCGCCTCACCTGCCTCCCCACAGGTTACCCTGGTCTGTTAGGTTAGGGAAGGCGGGAAAAGGCCCGGGTTTGGGGGGTGATGCTGAGCCCTGTTTTGGACAAGTGGCGCCCCGGTGGCTCTAGGACGAGTGTCCCGGAGTTGGGATCGGGCAGGGACGCTGCCCTTGCAGAGCCTCCCAGCACTGGCCTCCCAGACCCCACGGAGACGGGGCAGTGTGGCCTAGACCGTGGCCGCCCACACTCGGCTGGCTCGGCTCCGCGTGCATCCCGTGCTGAGCGTCGGGCAGGGGCTGAGACTGACGCAGAGGAGAGATTTTGGAGCAGGCGTGCGGGAGGCTCCAGTCGCACCTTCTCTGGGGCTGCTTAAGGTGCAGACATCCCCCTCCGGGAGAGTTATGCTCGCTGAGAATCAGGGTGGGTTCGGTTTAGCTCCGAGGTCAGCCAGCAAGAATAACCGGCTTCAGGGCCTCCGGCTGGAAACAAAGCCCGAGAGGAGCGGAGCCAGGAGGGGAAAGAGCTCGGGCGCCCTCTAGTGGACAGTGGCGGGGTGGCGTCCAGGAACTCGGCGCGGGTGCTCCAGTAACACCTACAGAGAATGAGGCCTTCCAGCCAGGAAAGGGGTGACTGTCCCCCTAAACTCAGTTTACCTGGAAGAGCCAAGCCACTGAATACTCCTGGAGGTAATACAGTAATAAACTACAGCTATGATAAAGGTTATTTTCAAAAGGCAAGAAAACCAAATATCTGGTTTATCTAAATTTGAGGTACTTGCACTTAGGACATTACATCTGTGCTGCTCTTAAGAACTTTGATCTGGATGGTGTTAGGATTTTTTTCAGGTTTATCTCATCCCCATTTAGGGAGGAAAAAAAAAATCGCCAGAGCTCCACAATCTTGAAATTACCACCTACTGATAAGTTTCATTTTTTAAAAGAACCCCCATAACTTTATTTAAAGAATTCATATCTCAGAGTAATCTTCAAGCTCTATTAAATGTAAAAATCAAAATATGGAATAATGTGTAGTAATCCATCATTTGTGCTAAAAATACAGCGGTGTACATTTATATATTTGTATTTGCATAAATTATCTCTGGAAGGATACACAACACACAGACACACACACACAATTGGTGGTTGGTTGTCTTCTTTCCCCCAGCTTTATTGAGATATAACTCACGTATGTAACATTCTCTAAGCTTAAGGTGTGCATGTGGTGATCTGATACACTTACATATTATGAAATAATAACCACCATAGTATTAGCTAGATACCTCCATCATGCCTGGCTGGTGTGGCTCAGTGGCTGAGCACTGACCTATGATCCTGGAGATCGCGGTTCAATTCCTGGTCAGGGCACATGCCCCGGGTTGCAGGCTCGATCCCCAGCAGGGGGCCTGCAGGAGGCAGCTGATCAAAGACTCTCTTATCACTGATGTTTCTATCTCCCTCTCCCTTCCTCTCTCTGAAATCAGTAAAGAGATATTAGAAAAAAAATACCTCCAGCACGTCATATAACCACTATTTCCTTACTGTGATAAGAACATTTAAGATCCACTCTCCTGGCAACCCCAAGTGTATATACAATGTTGGTAACTGTACTCACAGTGTGTTAGATCTTCAAGAACTAACTCGTTTGCTTAATCCCGCCACCTATTTCACCAGCTGCCAGCCCCTCCCAGGATTTGTTTTTGATGATATTGTGAATGTGATTTTCTTTTTCAGATGGTTCATTATTAGCGTATGGAGATGCAACTGATTTTTGTGTGTTGATTTTGTATCCTGCAACTTTACTGAATGTGTGGATCCAGTTCTAACAGTTTTTGGGTGGAGTCTTTAGAATTTTCTCCATATAAAAACCTCTCATCTGCAAGTAAAGACAAGGTTACTTCTTTCTTTCTGATTTAGACACTTCTTTTTCTTGCCCAACTGCTCTGGCTGGGACTTTGGGAACCGTGCTGAATGGGCCCGACGAGAGCAGACACCCTTGTCCGGCTCCTGATCTTAGAAGATAAACTTTCAACCTGTAGCTGTTGATACGATGTTGGCTTTGGGCTTGTCATAGAGGGTTTTTATTACGTTGAGGTTCACTGTTTCTATACCCAATTTGGGGGAAATTTTTCTCTCAAAGGAATAAACGCCTAATTGTTGTTTCTGTTGGCGGCGGGGCACAAACGAGGGGCATCTGGTGCACGTTGCCGACGTCTTCGGAAGCTGGTTGTCTTTCGTGAGGATGCTGGGTGGCTGGCAAGGGATGGGTGTTCAGCGGTCCCTTCCCGTTGGTCGGCTTTCTGCACTTTCTTTGCTTCTCCGCTTTCCCCGGCTGCAGTCCCTTTCGGTTCTGAAGGCTCGGGGTTCCAGGTCAGGTGTCAGCAGGTTTAGCTTCTCCGGTGGGCTTGGGAGGGATCCTTCCAGGCACGTGTCTCCTTGACTCGCAGGCGGCTGCTCTCTTCCTTCCTCTGGAGGTGGCCTTTCCGCCGCGTACTCAAAGTTCCCCTCATCTTACAGCGCCCCCGCGGCTGGCTGGTGGCGCTCGTATTCCGGGTTAGGTCCCAGACATGAATTCCTTTAGCTGCTGCCGTCAGGAATGGGGGAGCCCTAGCGGCTGGCGAGGCCCCGCAAGCGCGGTGAAGGCCCGAGTCCAAGGCCCAAGGCCTTAGGATGGCGCGTTGGCCCCACTGAGCGTCCCCCCGCTGGGGGCCTCCAGGGATCTCCCCCAGGCCTCTGTGGACCAGAGCAGCTGTGTGGGCGCCCTGCCCCTGCCCCTGGCCCTGGGACCTGTGTGCCCCCTGCCCCTGCCCCTGGCCCTGGGAGCTGTGTGCGCCCTGCCCCTGCCCCTGCCCCTGGCCCTGCCCCTGGGAGCTGTGCGCGCCCTGCCCCTGCCCTTTGGGGTAAAGCCGCTGGGGTTGGAAGCATAAGCCTCGCCCAGTGGTAGGAACCGCTGTGACCACTCCCACAGAGCATGTCATCCTTCTGTCTGAGCCTCAAACACACGAGCAGGCCCGTGGGCGAGTTTACGTTCCCTTGGTAGCACTTTTTAGGTCCGGGACTGGCTGTGCTGTAACCTGGTCCGGCCCCTCACAGGACCGAGGACAGCTCTTGGCATCATCAGAGGCCCTCTGGCGCTCAGCACAGGTCCCGCTCAGTAGGTTCTGCGTGAAAATATACTCGGAGAGCAGGGTAGTGAATTACGACAGAGGGGCGCTCGCCCCCTCCCCGGGCACAAGCTGAACAGGCCAGGGGAAGGGTGGGGTGTCGCCGATGTAATCCTGTGACTGCCGGTCCTCTCAATAATTCCCACCCAGAAACCCAGAAATACCGCCATGAAAGTATATTAGGTTTTCAAAGAACAGACGTTTGCACACACATATATCCACACACTCCGTGAAAGAACCTCAGTGCTGTTTATTTCTATTATATCGAGACACAAAATGTCAAAGTTTTACAAAACCAACCGTACAAACTTGAAACACTTTTACAAAGGTGAAAATATAGAGAAATGAAGACTATGGAATTTTGTCAACCATTTTACTTTGAATCCTGTCTTGTGTGAAAACCAAATAGTTCATCGGAATTTGTATGTGATACTATGTGTTAAATTTCAGGAGACAAAATGGATGAAATCCTAAGTGTCAATAGTGTAGGGCAAATTATTATTAAAATTAATGTGATCTTCAATTATTCCCGAGTACTGCTGCTATAATTTCCTATGTATTAAAACTTCTATTTAGGAATAAAACTGACAGTATAATGCTATTTCAGGACAGAGAATAACCTTAGTTAAATCTTCAATCCCAACTTTTAAAGCTTAGCTTTTCTACTAATCTGAAACTGTTTTTGGTTCATTGCTGACTTTTAAAGTGTCTTAAGAAAATCGACATTCTCTGTCCGGATGGTGCCCATGTTTTTGTTTTTATACCTGGCACTCAGGTGAGAAAGGTTTTCTTCCCCAAACCAGGTAAAGGGAGAGAGAGTCTGTCCATTTTAACCTTGGGCCTGGTCACTGCCCATCATGCACCAGCAGGAAGCGGAGGCTGCTGTGGTTTCGCTTGTATCTGAGCCACGCGTGGAAGAGCAGTGTTCCTGCCGCTGGGGCTGAGCTCCCGAGCAGTTGAGCTTAAGCCACAGGACACAGATGCTGCCCTTCCGTCCGAGCCTGGTCCCAGCCAATGAGACGCTGTTTGCAGTCCCCTCTGACAAGTTTGAAGATGAAGGCAGAAACAGGACGCAGAGCTGAGCCTGGATGATCTCCGAGGGAACAATGCGCGAGGGGGCAGTGGGTTCTGCAGAGTCTGAGAAGTGCGAGCACTGTGCCCAGCCACCCGGAGACGTGCAGCCACCCCCAGGCCTATGGCACAGGCACAGGCACAGGGTGGGCGCCTCCCATGCTCCCAAGGGCCTGGCCCATGACTGCGAAGTGGGGTGAAGCTGGATGCAGGGCTCTGCAGGAGCTGCCAGGCTTCCGCTAGAGTACACCCGTCTCCTTCAAGGAAGCCCTTCCGGGCGCACGAATGAGAAAACCACATACCCAGCCTGCGAAAGATCTGCAGTCACCTCCCAGCATGACCGCACACACCTAGCGTTAGCACCATAGTGAAGCCGGAATTGAGGTAACTCTCAGGTAGCTGTGGGTAGAAATTACAGTGGTAATTTTATGTGGGTTTTTATGGGGAGGGAAGGTCGTTATTCTTTAATTTTATTTCTATTACAGTAGCAGTTTTAAATGGGGTGTCTACAGCTGTATTCTTTCTGATCATTAAAGTAAGTTGTTTGAGGAACCATTTGATCGCAAGTATGTAAATATAAGTATATATCAAAATTGACAAACTATAAAGCCAGGTGGGTAAGCTTTTGGCAGGAGAAATGTAGCAAATCAGAACTCTCATTTTAGAAATTTAAACTGTCACTGTTGGGTTGACGAAGTCAAAGATTTCAATAAAGTACACCGAGCCGATCTCACAAGGCCAGCTCATCAGATGGCAGTGCCCAGGAACACCAACTTTCAGAGCAGGGCAGGTTTCCTGTAGATGCTGCCCCGTCAGCATCCGGCTGCTACAGGAAGTAGATCAGTCTGTCTATCCCGTTTGTTGCTCCATTTACTGAAAAGGTGAATAGCTTTTGTTTTCCCGGACTATTTTAATTTATGTAGATAAACCTCTCTGGAACTGGTACTTACCATTTATATAAAGGAACAGAGAGGGAAAGACCCTAAAACTTGGTTAAAATTTTGAAGGGGTTCAGTTTGTTTCAGGAAATGAAAACAGTTTAGTGAAGGGATAACTGGACAAAGTAAGAATTCTCTAATTTAGCTCCTATACACTGGCAGGGTGAAATAATAATGTGTAAAATAAGTAATGAAAGCTTTTCAAATCGTCTCCCCCTTAACATTACTTAACATGTAAGAGAAACAGGAAATCTGAGATCTAGCTAGTTTTGGGGACATAACAAAACTAATTTTTCAGAGCTAATTACCACACTTGTGGAATAAAACACAACCTTGGAGTCTGAGCAGCACTGGGACGCAGCCTCCAGCTGAAGCCAGTCCTGGTGCTCAGGCAGAAGTCTATCGCTCAATCTGACCAAGATTCTTCAAAAACACTCATCACAGGATTTTCATCTGACTCTGCTGAGAGTCAGATGAAAACAGGTAACTTTCCCTGCAGCCTGTAGAAACATTTTTGGGAAACAGTTTAAGGTTTGTCCTTAATCTAAACATTCAGCTGCATACTGAGACCAGTCTGCGGAAAGCGCATGTAAACAGTCCTTCCTTTATAAATCTGCTGATGCTAAGGGCACCAAAAGGTATATACAAGGGCGCAGTCTCGCCATGTCTGCAAGGATGCTGGTCAGCATATAAGGTCCCTCAGCTCCCTGTCGGTCAGCTCGTTCACTTCCATGATCCTCTCCAAGTGCTCCATGTACCGCTCCTGGTCCTGCAGGAAGTGAGGGACCCTCGTGTTCTCAGTGACTGCCAGGCCTTTCAAACGGGCCACGTCTTCATAGGAGACCTGGGGAAAGGAAGCTGAGTCAACTCTAAACGCAAATTTGGAAGAGCAGTTTCTTCCCTGGGTATTAAGTGAAGCTTTTAGTGTGTGCACTACTTTTCAATTTACTTTAATACCTAAAAAACAGCAAAAATCAGTGTCTTCATTTTCTTTTTTTTAATTTAATTTTTAAAATTTTTATTCATTTTAGAGAGAGAGGGGAAGGAGGGGAGGGAGAAAGAGAAGGAGGGAGGAGGAGGGGAGGGAGAGAGATGGACCGTTGTTCACTTATTCATGCATCACTGGTTGCTTCCTGCATGTGCCCTGACTGCGAATCGAACCTGCAACCCTGGTGCATCAGGGCGACGCTCTATCCAACTGAGCTACCCAGCCAGGGCTTCTCTTTCTTTACTGTGTTAGATAAGAATGTACTTATCTGGTCCCTCATACTATGACCATCTTTTTTAAAAAGATCAAAAGTCAATATTTGATTTTTTACACCTACTCAGTTTAAATATTACACAACTAAGTTTACTATACATGCCAGAGACCCTAAACCTAAACAAATCTCCTAAGTAAAAGAATCAAGAAAACAGCTCAAATATAAACACCACAGAAAAATCAGCTCAATTATAAATTATACTGGGCTCCTATTTCATTTGAGAAATATAATGATTTGTTTGGTGTTCTATTTTTTAAAATTTCCTCTCTTTCATTTGCTTGTGTAAAATCCCAACTTTCACAGGTATTTATATTAAGTTTAGGGGTGAGACCTTTAAATTCTATAAATTATCTTTGCAACTTTAAATTCTAAAATATGGCTGACTTTAAATACTACTGTTTTCTGATCAATATTCTTCCTGGTTCAGGAGGAAGACTTGAAGAAATCATATTCATATTATATCTGTATTTTATTGTTTTTTTAAGTTATTATTATTAAAATGACTTTTTGAGTACTTACACAACTAAGTACTGTACAGTGAAAAAAGCCTTGTGGTTGATGTGGTTTAATACATGCTGACGTGTTAAGGGAAGAAGTATTATATCTACAGAGTACAAAGGCAGTTTGAATCTGAGCCTGATGTCATCATAAAATTGAGCTGGCATCTGGCCGGTGTGGCTCAGTGGTTGAGTGTCAATCCAGGAACCAACAGGTCACTGGTTCGATTTCCAGCCTGGGTTGCTGGCTTGATTCCCAGTGGGGGGCATGCAGGAGGCAGCGATTGATGTCTCTCTCTCATCGATATTTCTATCTCTATATCCCTCTCCCGTCCTTCCTTTCTAAAAATCAATTTAAAAAAAACATAAAAAAGAAAAAAAACCCTGAGCTGTAGGAGATGCTGCCTGGTGTGATGTGCTGGGGACACTGCTGTGTCACTCACCTTCCCCAGGGCGGTCAGCAGGGGAAAGTCGATGGTCTTCCGGTGCCGCAGGAGCTGCAGGATGCCATCCAGGTACACCTGGTCTTTACTGAAACACCCTGCAGGAAGCACAAGCATGCTCACTACCTGATGTTAGAAAGCATCACTAAGTAACCGGGTACTAACCCACTCTCTTCACTGTAGGAATCAGTCCTGTATCAGGAGTTTCTAATTTGCCATGTTTACTTTTATGTAACTACTGTACCTTCGTCTACCAAATGTAAGGTCTTCGGAGGTACCAGGATAATACGGAGACCAGTAGCTTCCTTTTAAGAATTCCTTCTCCCCAGATCCCCACTTCCCATAATTAAAATAGCATTTCTTCCTAATTATAAAGAAACACTGGGCCTGGCCAGCATGGCTCAGTGGTTGAGCACTGACCTATGATCCAGAAGATGGAGGTTTGATCCCCAGTCAGGGCACATGCCCAAGCTGCAGGTTCGATCCCCAGTGTGGGGCATGCAGGAGGCAGCCAATCAATGACTCTCATCATTGATGTTTCTATCTCTCCCTCTCCCTTCCTCTCTCTGAAATCAATAAAAATATATATTAAAAAACAACAACAATGATACATTAAATTGTATGACTCCTATAAATAATTATCCCACTCTCACCCCCACCCCACCATCTGACTGCAACCTTAGCTCCCATGATGCAGTGAAGGCACCCGGGTGGGGAGGCTGGGGGAGGAGAGCTGTAGAGCAGTCAGGTCTCATGGTGGGCAGGGAAGCTAGGATTTCAGAAAGTTTTTCAAAAACTACTACCCTTTTACCCCATTAAAAATAATTCTAGGTGTTTTCCCTATGAAAACAAGAATTAGGACTGGATTTTAAAGAATATGGAGGTTTGTTAATAGAAAAAAATGTGGACGGAGACATGAGGGGTAGAAACAGCCCGTGAGATCTGAGCCTCCTTAAAAAAGGGAGCTCCATATACAGAGAAGACCCTTCTCCATCATGACATAACTTGTGTACACCTTTTTAAAGATTTGCTCTACTAAATGGACTAAAAATCCTACCATATGGAGAGTCCTATATTATGAAATTGTGGATTTTGTTAGATATGCTAACAGCATGGGGACTGTGAAAAACAAGTTGTCTTTATCGGTTAGAGATGCAAACTGAAGTATTTACAGGTAAATGGGGAGGTGTCTGGAGGGCTTTAAAATGCTATAGGAATGAAGTGTCACGTGTACAATTTACTTTAAAAAGTCACAGGGCATGTCATCAAAAAGTGAAGACAACCCACAGACATGGGAGAAAACATTTGTAAATCGTCTGACAAGAGATTCACACCTAGAATATTATTCAAAGAACTCTAACTCTGTAATAAAAAGACAACCCAATTTTAAAATGAGCAAAATATGGGAAGTGTTATCCAAAGAAGATATACAAATGGCCAGTAAGTACATGAAAAGACTCTCAGCGTTATCCATCATCAAGGAAATGCAAGTCAAAGCCATATGAGATTCCACCTCACGCTGCCAGGATGGCTGTAAAACCAAAAGGAAACGAGTTCGAGGATGTGGAGGAACTGGAACCCTCCCACACTGCTAGGGGATGTACAGGGTGCAGTCTCTTAGGAAAACAAGTCTGGCAGCTCCTTGAAAGGTTACACAGTTACCATTTGACCCAGCAATTCCACTTCTAGGCATTTATCTAAGAGAATTAAAAACATAAACGTGTACACAAATGTTCATAGCAGCAGTATTCATAATAGCCAAAACGTGGAAACCACCCAAATTTCCAAAAACCGGTAAATGGAGAAATAAAACTGTCAAATCCATGCAATAAAATATACTAATACTGACAAATGCTACAATGTGGATGAACCTTTGAAATATTATGCTGAGAGAAGCCAGTCACAAAGAATGACTGATATTTTATCTGATTCCATTCATATGAAATGTCCCAAATAGGCAAACCTATAAAAGCAGATGAACAGTTATGTAGTGCTGGGGAGAGGGGATGGGGAATGGCTACTAGGTAGAAATTTCTTTTTGGGGTGATGAAGACGCTCTGGAGTTAGAAATTAGTGGTGGCTGCACGACTGTGAATATTCTGAAAACCACTGAACTGTGCATCTTAATTGGGCGCATTACAAGTCATGTGGATTATATCTCAAAAAAGTGTTTTTAAAGCTAGAGAGAGAGAAACAAAAATGACAAACTGTTAACAGCTGGTGACTCTAGAGGGAGGATATGTGAGTGCTCATTTCTATCATTATTTCTCTATTTCTGTCGGTTTGAAATTCTTCAAAATGATAGGAAAAATGAGTGCTAATGAAATGTGGTTTGGGAAAACCAAGACTGACTTCAATGAACAAAGGTTTAATTTTTCACAGATGAGTGCTCTGCTTGGTGAATCAGGATTTAACCAAACTCAACAAACAACTCCCCAAAGTCAGAGAACCTATGGTCACGGGACACCCACCTGGCTGGGACGTGTCGGTCCAGCCCCTCTTGGCGCGCACACAGTAATCCCACCTCGTGTTGGGGTCCTTGACAAACTTCCCAATCTCTCTGAAGAGTTCGCAGAAGGACATCTGGCTGGCTTGATAGACGGTGTAGTAGAGGAGGGCAGCCCTCCACAAAAAGGGGTCCTTTCTGAACAGGACACTGTGAATGCTTGCCAGCCCTTCCTCCGTGGGATTGTTTGGCTTCAGCTCGTGCTTCTTGCGGCCAGTCCAACTGTTCCATGGCTGCTGGAGGTTGTTAATGCCTCGGAAATAATGTGTGCCTGCGAGAAAAGAGGCACATGAAAACAAGAAACGCCAGTGTTGTCTTCATTCTTACTCAAAAAAGATTCCACCAGCAGCTCTAGAACCACATTGCTGTGCACCTACGAATCAAAGCAAAGCAGACGACCCGATCCTGAAGCCTTCGGTTGGAGGGAGCACATGGTCTTCCAAAGACTCACGTGTCTCATTAGAAGAGGTGTAACTTTTACAGCAGTTTGTTTTTGTAAAGGAAAGAATCATAGACTTGAAACTGAGAAGAATCTCAGAAATCATGGAATTCAATTTCTTCAGTTTAAGGTCAAGAAACTGAAACTCAGGTGGGGTGGGGGGTGGGTAAATGACTTTAGCTTAATGGAGCTATGCAGTTCCTAAAAATCTAACTTGAAATGAGACATTCATCACTGTAGCTTTAGTTCAAGTGAAACCTACAATTCCATTACTTTTTGCCAAATACAACTAAGAAAACCTCACAATAAAACAACATCTCTGTGGAGCTCATTTCCGATACCACAGATGGACAGTGGAGAAGGGCTGCCCCACCTATCTCGTGCCTCAGCATTCCCTCCAGCCAGTGCTCTCGTGCAGTGGAAACATTGATGGTCAGCGTCGGACATCCATTCACTACCGTCATGGAGGCTCGGGAAAGCAGGTCCTCGGTGAGGTGGACTACAATCTGAGGAGCAACAGGAACAACATATATATTTTATGTGTTTTTACAAAATGTGAAGATGAGGGAAACAATGGCCTCATAAACGAACACCTTTCTCTTTTGTTTGCACCACCCATATCTCCCAGAACCAAGAGGATGACTTGCAGGGCCAGTCCCTTTTGTCCGTCCAATTCTGAGCCCAGGGGAACGCCCGGACCTTCACTGGACTGACAGGGAAGCAGGCGGCTCCGCCGGGAGGACACAGGACTGAGCCCTGCCTCGCTGTGCTCACACGGCCCCCCGGCTAAACGGTGCAGGGAAGGTGGCCTGCTCACCACGCGGCCAATGCCTTTTCAACACTGAATGCCAGGAACTGGCTTCTAATGAGAGGCCACTGGGCAATCTCTTCATTAACCATGTTCATAAAACCACTCACGCGATCCAAGTACAGAAATGGTGGTAATCCTCTGGTCACAGGGCAGCCTTCCAAGTCTCCCTCTAGTGCCCCCTACTGACTGAACCTAAGAGGGAGCCAGCTGGCAAAGAAGAGAGGCTGACAGGGTCCTTGCCCAGCATCACACAGCAGGGTATATATGAAGGTTGGTCAGGAGGTTAGAGACAAGTATTTAATAACCCAAACAGGATGTGCATGCATTTTATGCACCGTCTACATGCAGAAGACAGAGGGAAGCAGTAAGTTAGGTTACTGTGTTGTTCTGTTTATCACCATTACTTAAATTTTGAGTGATCCTGAGAGCTTTCTTAAATGATGGGATTAAACTTGTTTTGCCCCTGCCCTCCCAAAAAAGAAATGGTAGTAAGAAAAGAAACTAGCCCGGCCGGGCATGGCTCAGTGGTTGAACAGCGATCTAGGATCCAGGAGATTGTGGTTCGATTCCTGGTCAGGGCACATGCCTGGGTTGTGGGCTTGATCCCCAGTTGAGGGCATGCAAGAGGCAGCCGATCAATGAGTCTCTCATTCACTGATGTTTCTATCTCTCTCCCTCCTTCCTCTCTCTGAAATCAATAAAGACATATTAAAAAAAAAAACACCAAACTGAACACAATTCAATGCAACAAGAAATTGGACTTAGCTATTTCGTCAGAAATCTGTGTGACTAATTTACAGAATTAAATAGGGTTGGAAGAGCAAAGCCTGTAGCCAACACCACAGGGCACTGAGCAGGTTAACTGCCCACGGCCGGCTCAGCTCACTCAGGACTCCTACCTCCCCCAGGCAGCCTTCTTTCAGCATGTACTTCCTGACATGGCTCCAGATCCGAGGCTTCGAGAGCAGGCTCCCACCCGTGGCCTGCTCAAACTTCTCATAACTTCCGTATTTCTGCAAAGTCAGTTCCATAATATGGATGGACTGTGAAAGAAAGAGAGAAGGGAAGCGAAGAGCCTCCTATTACTTCAAGATGAGTAATCCAGTCATATTCTTATTTATCGTGACCTGTTTCTGGGTTTACTGATTCCAAATGAAAATGCAACTGAGGCACCACATCTTTCTAAACTTTAACAGCTTTCACTCATTTTCACAAATTTTTACAGACACCTGTGCAGTTACAAATACTACTTTGTGTTTACTTCTCTTTAACACATATGGTCCACTACTACACAATGTACCACCACATGACCAACTACATGTGACCCACTACTACACAATCTACCACATGACCAACTACATGGGATCCACACTACTACATGATCTACCACATGACCAACTACATGTGACCCCACTACTAGGTGTACACCCAACATAACTGAACACATCTGTCCACACAAAAATCTTTACACACATGTTCATAGCAGCATTATTTATAATAGCCAAAAAAGTAGAAACAACCCAAACATCTATCAACTGATGAATGAATACATAAAATATATACATACATGGAATATTATTCAACAATAAAAAGTACTGACATGCTACGACATGGGTGAATCTTGACAGCATTACATTAAGTAAAAGCAGCTTGTTACAAAGGACCACGTAGTGAATGACTTCATTTATCTGAAATTCCCAGAATAGGCAAGTCCACAGAAAAAGAGAGTAGACTGGTGGTGGCCTCGGGCTGGGAGGTTGGTGGGAAACGCTGAATCATTTTTAATGGGTATAGAGTTTCCTTTGGAGGGGTGATTAAATGTCCTCGAATTGGATAGTGGTGATGGCTGCGTAATTCTAAACGTGAAAATCACCGGCTGTACACTTTAGGTGGGTGAACTGTACAGCACAGTACTTTTATCTTATTAAGCTGTCATTTTAAGAGGAACAGTAATCAAACAGCACAGGCACGTTTAAACCACTAACCAGGAAATGGGAAGTCTCTACATAAGCTGCTCAGCTTTGTCTTAGATAAAAAGCTTCCTGAAACCTCTCAACATTCTGCTGACAGATCTGCTTCCGGTTTACCTGCTGGTTCTGGCCACCGCTCAGCAATCTGGAAATGTGACCATCAGTCACGAGCCACTCCAACAGTCATGTGCTAAAAACTATCTCCCTTCGCAGCTGCTGTTTTCACTCAGTGAAAACTATATGCAGCAGGGACACCAACGTGATAGGAGGCAGGGGAGGCAGGCAGCCAGCAGACCTGGTTTCCGAGTGCCCGAGTTCACTGACTGTGAGGTCCTAGGCTTGTCACTTTACCTTCCTCAGGTTGAGTTTCTTCACTGACAAAATGGAGATGAAAATCTTTGCCCTACTTACCCCACAGCATTGCTGTGAGGGCAAAATTAGACAGAAGAGGAGGAGGGGGAAGAGGGAAGGGAGACAGAGAGAGAGGGAGGGAGGGAGGGACCATGAATACATCTTATAATCTATTTCCCATTAACTCTGAACCACACCAAGTTTTAACAGAATTAAAGGCTGGGTTTTAATTTTAGAATTTAAGGTGACTGGTTTGACCTCCACCCAATCCCAACCCTCCCTTTATTCCTCCCTTTAGTAAACTCTACCATCTACAACTCCCCCCACCCCAATACTGAATCACCCTAGGGGGTCACACAGTCCTTTTCTTTAGGCCAGTGTTTTCAAAACTATTTCTTATGGAAAAGTGGTTGACTAGGTATCATTTTTATTTTTTTTATTTTTAAATTTTTAAAATTTTATTGTTTAAAATATTACAGATGTCCCTTTTTCTCCCCAATGACCTGTTCCACCCCATTCCTTCCCCCTCCCAGTCCCTCTCCCCACCATTGTCCATGTCCTTGGGTTGTGTATATATGCACATAAATTCTTTGGTTACTCTCTCCCCGTCCACCCACCCGCCCTCCTCCATCCTTCTGACATTCATCAGTCTCATCTATGCTTCCATGTCATTGAATCTATTCTGTTCATCAGTTTATTAAGTTCGTTAGATAGGTATCATTTTTAAAAGGGTTCCATGGCCAAATGTGTTTGGAAAATACTGGATTAAAGTTAAACAAGGCTGTTCCGAGATGTTATGATGATACTGTGTGTGGTGGATCTTGGGGGTGAGTGTTCTAACATTTTGTTTTCCAACTTATGTGGCCCTTTTTCTCATGTGGTATTTCTCAGAACACTTTGAAAATGCTCACTTTGGTGAGTATGAGGTACACACACAAACATACATCATTTTGGTACTTCAAACTTCTCAGGATGAAAACCAAAATTCCAACTACTGAAAACATTTTTCAATGATGGCGATTGCTTCTTGGCAGCACATCAGGTATATAAAATTCTGGATTACTCAATGAGATCATTTGGCCTCCATATAAGGTACCATAGCCACAAACTGGTGGGACACTCGAGCTGTGGTCACCCACCCAGACTTTCAGCTGCAGGCAGTAACTGTGTAAGGCTGGTGAGCGGGAGACATCTGGGAGAGGCAACGGAGGAGCATCTTTATATTCCAACGGTTTAATAAAACTCTGCGCTGACCCTAAACAATCACATATGCAGGCTGAACAGGGCCTTGGGCCACAGACCTGAACCCACCGCTCATAGAGTGCTTCACTAAATTCCAGAATCCCATCAATAAGGACCATTCATTCCTTTCATTCATTCCTCTTTACGGTCACCTTCTTTGTGCCAATCACTGTTACTTTTGTTCATTTTTATATTTCAGACTCTGAGTCCCTGTCCAACTATTACACTGGCAGAGAGGACGTATAAACCAGCATTATTTAGCGATACTCTTACGGAGGTCAAACTAAGGTGTTGTGAGATCACAGGAAAGGTAGACAGAAATGAGGGACTTGAGGAAATAGAGGGCATTCCAGGCAAAAAGGAATAACATTGTCAAAAGCTTATACAAAGGAAAGAAAGTGAAGTACAGATTTCCCGAACTGGACAGGCACCAGGAGACTCATTTCTTTACTGCCAGAAACTGTGCACGATTCTGGGAATAGCTGAAATAAATAAAATACACTTTATCAAAGAGGTCAGTCTAGTGGTGAAGACAGAAAAGACACCTAAGGATGGTGACAGTCTGATAAATGCTGTGACAGGGCATTTGCACAAGATGCTGTGGGGGTACAGAGGTGACTGTGGAAACGTGAGCATGAGCCAGACCATGGAAGATGAAAGGCCTGTGGGCCATGCTGAGGATTTGGGGCTTTATCCTGAATTATCCTGAAGTTTCTCAGGAAGGGAATGATCAGATCTGCACCTTAGAAAGACACAACAGTGTGCAGAGCAGGGGAGATGGAAGCAAAAATACTTCTGCCAATAATTCATTTTTCTATAAAACAGACTGCAGACTATGGCCAGATTATAATAAGAACAAAAACATTTCAGGAAATCATATCCTACATAAGCAGAACCTAAGAAGTAGATAGCTCTGAGATACCAAGTTTGCCTTCAATGAAGGAACAAGGAAACAACACAGTGGGACACAGAAAGGTGTCACCTGCAGCTCCTCCCCCACCCCTCCTACCTTCTGCAGGTTTGTGTCCTCAGGGTTGGGTGGCCTGGATGTATACAGTGGTGAGTGGAACACGAGAGGTAACTGCTACCAGGATGAGATAGTTACAAACAGCCTAGTGCTGCAGAGTCTGCATTCACCACAGCAAGCAGTGAAGCAGATACTCAAGCTGTTTTGTAGGAAAGATAAGAACCTGAGAATGCACTCAGGCCAGTTTTCAAAGGCAAATCAACAAAGTGTCCTTTCAAGGAGTCATCAAAGTCATGCCTTCTTCCAAGGACAATCTGGTGGGCTGTTTCCACCTCTGACTGTAAGAAAATCTTCCTTGCTAGTTAGGTTTAGAAATGACCCGACTTCTCCAATCTAATGCACAAAGTTACTTTGGAATGTACTAAACTCAAAATAATCTTTTGAAAAATCTTGTATCTTTAGGGTATGTGTGAAAGGTTTGATTTGCTAAACAGAACACCGTGTCACCTAGGGAGAGGTATCATTTAAAGAAGGCTTACTTTGTCCTGCTCTTTAGTGTCGGGACAACTTGAGATCTACCAAGTAAAATGCCATCAACGCCAGTACAACTGAAATTCGCCTTAAAGAAATTTTATGTCAAGACATCCTGCTATCAAGGAAAGCGTCTGATTTCCAATTAAGTGTTTCTATCAAAAACGGAAAAGGAACACTTGTCTTGCTTTAGAATACTTAATTTTATGAATTTGTGATGCATGTGTTTTAATACAATGAATGACGCATTCCACTTACACTGTAAACTCTAAAAGCAAGACACTGTTTTCCCAGAATCATATTTAAAAGGCAAACAGTTTTGCTCATGGACACAACTTTTTATAAGAATGTGTCACTCTTAAAGTGTTATGATTGCTAAGACAATATGTTTATGTTCCATACAATTATGACTCTTTAATATTTCATTAAAATATTTTATTGTGTTTTGAGATATCAATCTTTTGGCAACCACATCTGTAGCATCTGTCTTCATTCACACCAACATTCTGCAATACTCAGTCCCTCATCTTTCCTAACTGCATCTCCCCCAGAGGTTATTATGCGAGATGCCTGGCACCAAATCAAAGGTTCAAAAGCTTTCTTCTTTATAACTCAGTTCAGTGGTTTATTTCCATTTAGATGTTTGATTTTAAACATCACTTTCTTCCATAACCTCCTTTCTTGTCACTGTCACTGGCTCTTTCTATAACCTTGTTTACTTCTATTACCACGTTTGCTACTTACTACTGACCCTAGTGAGTGAACACTTAGGGCCCATGTGGCACTGTCACCACAGGAGAGCAAGGTGGCTGTCCTGATGACAACTGTTCTAGGGAGGGGGCTGGGAATAACTTTTCCATCTGAGCTAATCCATAGAAGTGTTTCCTTCCATTAATATGTGTAATAAAAAATGAAGTATATTTGCAAATAACAGTTATCTTGAAAAATGTAGTCTTCAGAAGAGGGTAACACTGGAATTGGGTTAAAATACAAATGGTAGAGCCACAGGTCAAATAGTGTCGATTCTCAGCCTGTGGGAATGCTGAGGCTTCCTTGTTGCCTCCCAGAGAAATGAGAGAGCATTCACTTTGATTTAATGCTGAGAAATCTCTCCCAACTGGCAGGGGTTGGGGTAGACTCCAAATTAAAAAGTGTTGGTGAGTAAATCTCAGCCATTTCTCTCAGCACTAAGGAGGGAAAAAACAAACAGCTGTTCAATAATTATCATACATTTTAAATAAGTGAAATCTCTATTCAATCATTGCAATTTCCACCCCCAAAAAAAAAAAAAATCACAAAATGATTGCCAAAGTAGGAATACAAACAATAGCTGACTTTTAAAACTAATGTTTGGCACAATCTCAGCACATTTAAATAAAAAGTGGTCGCCCATTAAAAAAATAGAGATGCAATAGAAAAGGTTTCTTCTAGCAAAGGAAAATAAATGGCAACATTAAAGTTCTTTTAATCTTAAAATAAGCTTTACATAACGGCTTAAATGACTGGCCAGATTCCAGGTCACTTATAATAACACAGAACCTGCTGGTCACAAGTCCAAAGAGCCATATGCAGCAGAAATGCTGACACAGGGCACACAGCAGAGGCAGGTGGAACTGTGCAGTGTGGCCCAGCAACAATGTGCAGCCCCGACAAAGCCACGCTGAGCCTGGTGTGTCATAACAGCCTGTACAGGTTAATTTAACCAAATGAGGTCTGCCTGTGATCTCAGCACTGTACCCTGAAGGTAAACACCAGCTGATTTCTCCTCAACCCTTAACATAGACTGTGAAGTGTATTAAGCCCTGACACACACAGCACAGAACTACATGCTTGGTGTCTAAATGGAGCAATCAGGAAATTGCTGCTCATGTCACTCACATGTGATCTGCTAACCTTGAAGATACCTTTCAAACTTCCATTATTTTCTTCTTTAAATAAGTGCCTAAATATTGCTTTGATGATGATGAACTATGTGAGTCAAGCACTAACAAGTTCCTGGGCAAGCATCCAGCCTGGATCCCCATGTTTGTGGGGGCCTGAGCACGCTGGGAATGTAATACAAGGAGAACTGGAGAGACCAAGTGCTCTTTCTGAGGCATCCAGAACCAAGTAGAACAGTGCAGGCTGCACTGGTCTGTGGGCTCACTAACTGGCCACAGGTCTAACTCCCACAGGAGAGCCTGGACCCAGAATCTGAAACTTTCTTCCTAATCAAGTGTCTTCCTGCCACAGAGTCTACAAAATAGTGTCTTTTTGGAGGTTGATGCGTACGAAGTAGTTTACATAAGGGCTGTGCCACTTACCTGGGAATTTCTTGTCACGTGTATCTGTGTCCTGGGTGGGAGTTAACTATAACATGCAAACAGTTGGAGTATTTTTAAAGTCTTGTTTTCTTTTTACAAGACTGTGAATAATTGTTTTAGTTACATAGATATGAAATAGCACCACTGCAGTAGCATTTTACCTGCTTAAGGAATCGGCCAGACACGTTGCAGTGCTTGGCTAGCACACTTGGCAGAGAAGGGTTAGCGTACTCAAACTGAGGGTTGTAGGTGTAGTCGGACTTGAAGAATCTCAGCTTCTCCTTCTCCAGGTTGGTGGGCTTTATAGCAGTCAGTATACAAAATTTCCTTCCCGAAGAGTCATCTCCTTTTTCAAAACTTCTAGACAGCTGTGGCTGTGGCTGTGGCTGTGGCTGCGGCTTCGGCTTGGGGAGAGTGAAGTGGTGCCGCTTGACCTTGCTGTGGGGTTTAGGTGGCAGTGCTAGGCTGTTCCCTGTAACAGAGATACCATGCGTAAATGTCACAGGGTTTGACACTGAACTAGTGACGAGAACAGCAGGCTGCCTGTCTAGGCAGGACCAGGTATCACTGCTCAGCACAGGCCTGGGGGCTCTCGTCTTGCGAAGGTCTTTGCTACGAGAAGAGCTAGAAGATTTGCTGGGTTTCCTACATCTTTTGGAGTGGGTGGAGGAAGACCGCTTTTGTGCATGATGCCTTTTCTCCTCTTTGCTCTGCAGGAGGACATTGTAACTACTGGTCCCAGTGGTGAAAATGTCCTTCAGTATTCCGGGAGGTAACTGTGGGACATTCCTTTTGCGGACAGTGACCAGTGACTCTTCTGCATTCAGGATAGACTTCTTAGCCAGTTCTTGCTCAGGCCAGTGAAGCTTTTCTGTGTTAATGAACAAATCAAAACAAAAGAAACAACAAAGATACCATATGAGGCGAATTGCTTATTATATGAGGAGTATTCTGAAGGTTCTTTAAAATTTATAATTTTGCAACCATCTTTAGAAAAGACACTTTAACTATTAAAGGTATATATTACTAAACTTTGGTCATGCTAACCATGGTCACTTCTATATGCTGAATTATCTATAAAAGTCCACAGCTTCAAACCATTTAGATGATCAAAGTTTAATATAGATGTGAAATAATACACATAAATAATGTGAATACTCAGCTCTACCAAAGAATGTGGATTTCATAAATCCAAGGCACCTTCAAAGCCAATATAATCCCAAAATTTGACGGTTTACATAAAGGTAGCTGCTAGTAAAGGAGGGATAACACTGCCTTACTGATCTCAGAAACCACTTTTAAGATTAAATAAATGGTATGTGTATGTTCAAGCATATTTTAGTAATGTCACTCACTAGTAATTGGCTGATTTTCTTAATTCTAGGCTATAGGTTAAGATGAAAGAAAATCAAGGTTTTTTTCTTGCCATGTCTGAAAAAACTGCAATGACTATTACATAGGTACCAATATATCAAATAGCAAATTAAGGAGAGGTCAATTTTGTCTTTAGATCTCATAAGTGGTTTAGAGAGACAAGAACCACTGGACATACTGCTGCTCACATGCTACTGTACGACCTGACTTGCACTCTCACTCCACAAATACGTGGAAACCACTAATTAAGCACGTGGCTCTGAAAAACCCCTGTGCAAATACATTATTCCTGCCTTCACCCAGCTTCTAATCTGGCTTTGAAGATCTGAGTAATACATGGTAAGAAGAAGGTTAGTGAAAAGCAAGAGAGCGCAAAGTGAGGAGAAACAGATAAGATTTCAGGTTGACCCTTAAGGGCTTTCAGATTCAATTCTAAACTGACAAAGTGTTTGTTTACCTTGAATCCTACTTGTCTGAACTAGACTCCAGCTAAAGGCCTGTAAATATGCCCAGTCTGTCCATAAGCCTCTTCTAAACCTTTTCTGCAAATGTGACATGTGATTCTCAGCCAGTCCTCTTTTCCAAGTCTCGTGGACCGTTGTGCCTCTAGCCCTCAACCTTTGGCTCCTACTTACTAAGGCAAGTTCAATGCTGGCTGACTTGGTGAGTGCCTGCCTCGCTCACCAAGAAAGACATGATTTCTTTTATTTCAAGTTTTTGAAGACTGTTTATCCACATACATCTGTCATTCACTCATTCAAGATTAGATGTTCAGGGATCCTTTCTACAATAAATAGTAATAAATAACAATAACAACGGCAGCCACCATTTGTTGACACACTTATATGAGTTTGGGGTTTCACCTGAAACTGTACCTGTTATATCACGCCTCAGAGATGTGAAGTAATTGGCTCGAGGTTATATGACAAGAAAGTAATACACAGTAAAGTGGCATTTGAATGCAGGCGTGTCTAATTACAGATGCTATTCTCTTGTGTATGGTCATCCACTCAACTATGCAGACATTCAGTATTAACTTGGACCCATGCACACCACTGCACCCTTTCTTCCTTGGCACAGAACTCGCCACCCCAGTAAGCCATGGTAATTTGGATAACCAATGTACTAAGATAGGTACCAGGACAATGTTTTGTTCTTCTCTTTCTTTCTAGCGCTCAGGATGGTGTCCAGTAGATGTTCAGTAAATGTACACTGAACGAATGAATGAATGGCATGACCTTAAACATGCCATTCACCAACCATGGTAGTTAAACAGGTATTAGTAGTTCCAGGACCTTTCTATATTTACATGTGGAGACACTGCACAAGTGGAAATATAACAGAGAAGACCCCAAACCATTGGTTCTCAACTAGAGGCAATTCTGCCCCCCAGGGGACATTTGGCAATGTCTGGAGACATTCTGGTGTCACTAGGAGAGGTGCTACTGGCATCTTGTGGATAAAGATGATGCTAAACATCTTGCAATGCACAGGACAGCTTCTGCAACAAAAATATTCTTCCTAAAATAGAGCCCAGGTAGAGCCACCCTGCTCTAAATATAAGCTTTTAAAACCTGGAAGTCGTAGGGTTTTGGGTACAGAAACAGTACCAGGTCAAAAGTGGATAATAATCCAAATACGTAAGGTACATAAAAGTCCCTTTACTTAACATTGTCTAGCCCGGCCGGGCGTGGCTCAGTGGTTGAGCATCAACTTAGGATCCAGGTGATCGGGGTTCGATTCCCAGTCAGGGCACATGCCCGGGGTGCGGGCTCGATCCCCAGCGGGGGGCCTGCAGGAGGCAGCCGATCAATGACTCTCTCATCATTGGTGTTTCTATTTCTCTCTCTCCCTCTCCTTTCCTCTCTCTGAGATCAATAAAGATATATTTTTTAAAAAACACACAACAAAACATTTTCTAGGCCAGAACATATGAAATTTGAATCCTGGTGTCTAAAAGATAACATGAAAGCATGAACTTGCAAGGGTTAAATAGCGTCTACTGCATACCCAAGTTGAGAGGTGAGAGGCAGGAGCGAGCCTGCACAGGGTTGTGTTGAAGGTTGACTGCACAAAGAAGCCATTCAATAAATGCTCAAGACCAGCCAAAAGTAAATGGAACAAACAGAACTCTCATCGCAGGTGGGTAGGTACCAGTTCCTCAGGCGTTTCAGACTTAAGCGCTGCCAACTGATAGTCAGAAATGGGCAGGCCGGGCAAACATGGGCCAAGGAGCACAGAATCCAGACTGCAGCCCAAATGCCCACCAACAAGGCCAGTTTCTCCAGAAGACGCCACGAGTTTAGGAGACAAGAGGTGATAAGGAAAGGAAGACTGAAAGGGACATTAAAAGGGCGAGAGTAAGAGAACTGAGATAAGAACAGGGTATCACAGACCGAGAAGTCGGGTGAGCACTAGGCCCAGCCAGGTAGGTCGCCGGAGGTAACCAGCCTTTCTCACTGTCTTCACAAGGGGAAAAGATACCTCGAGTTAAAACCAGTGGAAAAAACTACTCTGAGGAATTCTGAATTTTGATGGCTCATTACATTTATGTTGTGTTGATTTTTAAAAAATGAATATTCAATGTAAAAGTGCTCTGTGGTTTCTAAGACTCAGTAGCTCTATGACCAAATCAGGGAGCTCACAGTTCTGTTTTGTCATAAAGTGTCAGTGACCTGTAAATTCATTCTGTCCCATTTAGAACAACCTATATACTTCAGGATACTTTAAATTAAAAGTCCAAAACCATCTGCCAAAACACTAAAGGAGGAGATGGCAGGAGAGAGGTGACTGTGTGACAGGACCTGTCCCCCCAGGAGGTGCAGCATCAGTTCACTTGCTAATTATCTACCTGAGAGGCTGAGCCTCTGTCCTTTCTAAGCTCCATCTGCTGAGAGCAAAGACTGGGCGTGCCGGTGGCGTTTTTATTTAATAACTGCCAATCCTGCCAAATGGTGATATGCCATGATGTTCACAAAAGTGGACAGGTGGTCCTTCAAATATACACAAGGATATAAATTAATTTCTCGCAGTAGGCACAATAACCTTATTTTCAGTTGCATGAAAAGTAGTGAAGAATCTGAAAGCTTTTTGTGATTTTAAATACTACTGTTTAAGAAAAAATGACTTTTACACTTGCATAAGAACATAATAAAAACCCAATCAGAAGATTTAATTGAAGAACCTCCAATTCTAACTCCTTTTTCTTGAAAAATTAAAACTTTTAAGCAGGAGCAGGCTTCTTTGGGGGTAGTGTAATTCATTTTCCCTCTGAAAAATAATGAGATACCTAAAAATCAGACTTGCCCATATTAAAGTCACTATAGAATGTGGCATGTTAGCCGTCAGCAACCTGCCTCACTAAAACCCTGGCGTCAATGAAAACAGTTTGTTGATCAATGAAATCATTCATGCCAACCTGATTACTTGTACTGAAGAAAAGGGGAATATTACATTAAAATCCATACTCAGTATGTTCACACAACCAGGTGAAGCTACTGAAATTACCAACACAATGAAAGCTTCCTTTGTATCTAGAACGGGAGCAAAGGGTACCGGGGTTGCTGGCTTCCATTCCCGCTCTTTCAATTGCTTCTCTGTAACACGAGTTTAATCACTATGCCCATCGCCCACGGGTGCCTCATGCTCCTCATCTGGAGAAATGGGGAGAGGAGAGCACTGCTCAGTCAACTCTGTGTTTCACGGTCATGAATAGGTGAGTTTCATAGTAATTATGAGGCCCTGGCTGGAAGGAGATTAGATCACCAGAAACAAAGCCTACTGGAAAATGCCATTCAACCAATTTTGACCCACAAGATGGCAATTTTATATGGTTCACTAATACTTATGAAACCTGAGAGCCTGGGGTAATTTTACAGCACAAAACAATAGGTTGCTTGATGACAAACAGAAGAAAAGGCAAAACAAAACAAAATAATCCCTGAGTAAGATAAACACTTTGATCAAGTAGTTCATCATCACTTAAAATTCAAATGATACCATCTCTATGCCCAGTGGAAAGGATGTCTAAACAGTGGTGTGTTCATACAATAGAGTAGCACAGTGCAATGCAAGAGCAAACTGAGGTTTGCAACAGCACAGACAATCTTGAGCAAATGCAACCAGATCAAGAGAGTACATAATGTGTGGTTCAAAAACAGGCAAAACTAACCTATGGTGCTGGAAGTCAGATTAGTGGTTACTTAGGGAGGGGTTATAACCTCCCTAGGAGGAGGTACCAGGGGAACGAGTGCCAGAAATGTTCTACATCTTGCTCTGGGTAGTAGTTACAGATGTACAAATTCAGCAGGCTACACATTTAAGACTTGTGAACCTTAATGACTAAGTTACATCTTAATTTTTTAAATGGTTTACAAAAAATCAGTATCATTGAAAACATTTATTGCCCAAATGTCTGCATTATAATAGATAATCAATTATATCTTAAATTCAATAGCACCAACTATAGTTTCTCAACTGTAAGTTAAAAAGGAGATGGAAAGATACTGCTATTATAATTTCAGGAGCTGAGAAACACAACTGTATTTCAGGATTCCTAGAAATGCCACCACCCCAGCTAGGAGTACTTCAGTGTTACTCTATTTAGTGACAATGATTCTTTATAAGGTGACACTGTTGGTTTTGGGTCAGAAACTGTTGTGTGTTGTTGTTTTACAGTTAGAAATATGCAGGGTGTGTGCTACATGCCAGAAATGATGGTTGTGGTGAAAGAAACAGCATTGAACACCATCTAAACTAACGGAGAACATGCCAGAGAACAAACTTCCCCATGGTTTCCCATTTGGGATGAAAACAGAGCTCCTAACCACAGCACATGCGGTCACTCGTGCTCCGTCTCTCTGCTTCTGGCCTCCCCCTGCACAGTGTCCCTGGAATCCTCCACTCAAGCTTCCTTTTGCCTGGAAGTCCCTCCCCCTCCCCCTCTCCAACCCCAGCACTCCCTCCCACTCCGCTCCCTCCCCTCCTTGGGGTTAATGTCTCCTCATCCTTCAGTTCAGACAGGAAGCCTCCTCTGGGAGGTTCTTTAAAGCACTTGCCAGGTGGCAGTAATGGCTCTGTTGGGATGATGGCCCTCCTTCCCCAACACTGAGATTGTATGGCCCCTCATGGAGAAGTCTGTGTTGATTTTTGCTCACTGCCCTGCTTGCGCAAGGATAGCCAGAGCAGTAGCAGAGCGATGAGAAGATCTGAGACAAGAAAACTCACACCAGATGGCATAGAAAAAAGAAACCATGAGAGATGTTAAAGACAAGTTCTAATGGCAAGTGCCTACTACTGTTTGGACAAACAGGAGCTATGTGCCTGGATGTGCTCATCCCGTAAGGCCACTGACCTTAAGATGACTTTGGTGTCCAGTATTTTGAACATTCACCTTTGTTACAAAGGAGCTTCCTTTCCGGATGACTCAGTAATGTCTTATATCACATACAAAATATGGGCAGTAAGAAATAATAAATTCACATTAATCTTATATGGCTTCTGACAGGACTTGCTACTCATTGAATGAGCTTGATGTTTTCTTTTCTATTTTGAAAACAATAATTTTTAGTAAAATATGATCTTTCCAGACCAACACTTACAGACTTGCCTGTGATAAAAACTTAAAAACCACCAACTTGAGTAACTATCAGATTATGTGCCACTGCTGTTAAATGAAATCTTCATGCTGAATATCATGGCTTAAATCAGCACACAGTCATTGCAACAGTGTCATGCGACCCTAGTGGCTTGGGAATGGAGCTGATTTGAATCTTGGCTATTTATCAGTAGGTGTGACCTTGACCAAGGTGTTGAACTTTTTTGTGCTGTGTTTTCTTATCTGTAAAATGGGATAATAAATTACATATGTCATAGCATTGGTTCAAAGAACAAAAAAGTTGGTATATATTAAGTGCTGAGAATAGTGCAGCCTGTGTTAATCAGTACCATTACCATACTCAATACTATATTCAGCTCCTATAGAAATACTCCATGAAATAATATAAATGGGAAAATAATTAGAATCATTAAATTTGGATTTCCAGGGTAAATTTAACATTAAGCAATTAATTCTGCATTCTAGAACCAACGTTTTTGTGGCTTTAGTATAATGAACTATCTTCTTTAAAAAGCTATGAGAAGGCACAGAAACCTTTTCTGACTTGATTTCATTTCCAGCAGCATATACAGCACACGTATCTTTCCTATTATGGTTCTCCCGTCAGCAGCTGCACCAGGATGTTGTGTTTATTATAGTCAATCATGACCAGTCAGTCAAAAGTGGGTAAGATATTATATAGGAGTGATTTCAGAAACACTTAATTGCTTTAGTCCTTAAATAAAAATCAGTTTGTTCTATATTTATAGTGATTTTAGAGCTTAAAAAAACCCCACATATTTCCATCAATACTCCCACCACAAATAACTAAGGTCTTCTCTAACCAGAAGAACGGGCTTCTTAGACATACATGAATAGTGGGGGGATAACAAGGAAAAGGGGGACATGTTTTCAGCTAAATTCTCATAAAGCTTCTGGTCATCCAAACTGGGCTTTCTGACACATAATGAAATGCTGGGCTAGGGTTCCAGACTACCATTTTAACTAGTCAAGCACTATGTAAAGGAAACAGAGAAACTTTTTTGAAAAACGGCCTGGCCAATTAAAGAGGCTGTCAGTTTGAGGCTTGTCTCAAATGGCTATTTGAATGTTTAATAACTATAGAAATTCACTGCCAAATTATCTCAAGGTATTAAACATGCAGAGCTAGATTGATAAGTGTATTGCCATTAAATTATGGGAAGGGAGTTGAGGCAAGAGGAGTGTGTCTACTATTTTATAACGTATCTCTCTTCAAACTTCCAACTCTGCATATTATTAAAAAAAAAAAAAAATAGGTAGTCCGCTTCGTATTGTTAATAGTTGGCCAGAATATCCAGTTTCTAACACTATCATACTCATGTTCTCTCTCTGTGATGATTGTTATGCTTTGGGAAAGTTATTTTAATTGACTTTACTTCTAAATCATTGTCTAATAACCTTCACTGACAGAATCTAGCTACGTAAGGCAGTGGTTCTCAAGTGCGGAGGGGAGGGTGGCAGTGTGTGTGATTTCGCCCTCCAGGGTTCAACTTGACAACATCTGGAGACATTTTTGGCTGTCACAGCTGGGGTAAGGGGGGTTGCTGCTCTTGGTATCTAGTGGGTAGAGGCCAGGGATGCTGATAAACGTCCTACAATGCACAGAACAGCCCCCACAGCAAAGAATTATCAACTCAATGTTAATAGTGCCAAGGCTGGGAGAGCTGCTCCAAGACAAAAATATGGTATTTTTAAATAACTTTCAGCATTTTCATTGTATTTTAAGATGAAAATAGCATCTACATCAACTCACATTTAAAAATATCTAATGTCAATTTAAGTTGCCTCTTAGATCTTAGATCCTATGACTGTCTGTGCTTCCTGTCAACGTAGGGATGAGATAAATCCCAGCAACGTCAGGATTGAGCAAATCAGCTCCATAGTTTACACCACGGAACATGAAGTAAAACAGTATAAAGTTGAGACCATTAGCATTTGGAAAGGAACTTAGTTTTACAATTAAAAACTTCACAGAAAAATGGCCTGCTAGGTACCAGGATGCCTTCAAGGCCTTACTTCTCTGGACACCGGTGTCAGAGTCAGGCACCTCCGCTCCCTCGGCCGCCCTCCCTCCAACCCGGGCCCCTGGGCCTGTCCTGCGGACGGCTACACAGAAGCGGGAGCCGGAGCGTGGCCTAGAAGGTCATTCCAGACCACGCAAGGCAAGTTCTGAATGATTAACACCCAGAGTTACTTAAAAAAGTAATGAAGGCAAGCCAACCTTCTGACCTGGGGTCTGAACACCCCTTTTTGACACTGGGCACAGGACACAGAAAAGTGACCTATTAAAATACCAACTGAGGACGACCCCCGCCTTGGGAGGACACGCACACGAGCGGCCGCGGGGACACTGACGGGAGCGTGTGCTTTCCGTGGGCTTGCGTGTGAAGAGCACCCCGGAAATCAGGTCCCACACGAAAACGCCCCGGGGCGCGAACGAGAGAGAACCCAACAGCGCGTTGGGGCTGCACATTTGCAGGACCAGCGACCTGTGTATGACGGCGAGTGGACCACAGGACAAGGGGCCGTCTTCGTCCCCCCCGCTCCCCCCCGCACCTCCCG